CCCCAAAACCCCAAAACCCCACAAAATGAAATTAAGCCAAAATTCTAGATTTTTGTTTAAATTAAATTTTAGATAACATTGATATTTAGTTAGAGTTTTTAAATTTAATATTTCCATGTTCCTCAATATGTATTATACTTTTAAGCGTTCAGCAAATTGAGTTAAACTTCATAATATCGATGCCCTTTTCCATTTTGCTTTCTAGATCCATAAATCCAAATAATGGCACTAAAAGAGCTGAAAGTCCAAGAATGAATGATAGTAAGAATACAACAGGGGATTATCTGTCAAATTTTTTCACTACTTTATTAAGAAGATAAAGCCCCATTAGGGATCCGAGAGAACACCAGAAACCAATCCAAAAGCTGAATTGCATGTTAAGCATTTTGTACATTACATATATTAAACTAGATCCTGATGTTGAATAAAGTATCATATACATTCCAGTGGCAGATGATACAGATGGAGGTACACCCATACTTAAGAGTAATGGATTAAATATGGCGCCACCACCTAGACCTAGTGCTCCAGACACCCAGCCTCCAACGAATGCAAATATTACAAGCTTGCTAATCGCTGCTTTAGTGAATTTAACATCACTTTAAGCCATTCCATATCCAACTTTGATTTTTAAGGCTTGCTCAAAGCATACTCTTTTGATTGAATAAACAGACAGGCTGCCGCATATTATTAAGAAAGCCAAGAGTAGTGACCAATCAATGTTGCTACATCTTTAAAGCCCAATTATTGATTGAAACTTGTTACTTCCTCTGAGCAGATTAACTGCTAGCATGCAGATCAAACAGACAAAACATACAAAGTGCTTATCCCATTATTGATGAGTCTATTCCTTTTTGAGTAATTCATTCAAAAGGTTTTATTCTTCTTAAGTTCCACCAAGTTGGATTCCGACTAATTCACTTAGTGGATCATCTTGTTTCCAATTGAGTGACTTTGCTCTGCTAATAGGAGAAAGATCAATAATTTGATTTTTTCTTAAGTTATAGTTATGCTTATACTCATAGTCTAGTAGATAGTTTCTTAATACACCTCTTTGAACTCTCTCCTCATAATCGTATTTATCGAATATAGAAAGTGAATGATTCAAATGGAGTCTCATCGAATTTTTTCTACTAATGATACTTAAATGTGAACCATCTCCTTTTTTAACAGAGAGATCTTAAAGATTAACATCATCCGCATTGTTTGATTAATTGCTTATAACAGATTCTCTAAATTTGTTAAAACTTTTTATATCCTCATCTTTTTCATTATCTGCAAGTTTTTATTTTTCTTTTTTAGCTTGCAGAATCTTAATTGTTTCTTTTTGATAGATTGATCTCGCTTTGAATGCTGCTTGAAAGGTTAAAAGAGTTAATACAAGAGTCAGGCAGATAGATAGAAGTAAACTTGGAAACATGATGTTTATCAAGACTCCAGTCATACTTCCCATCATTACAACTGGTAGCATAATTGTAGCTAAACCATAATCAATAATTACTGCATCCTTCTCAGGATGTTTCTCATTGATTGAGAAAATATATCTTGTTACAGAGCAAGCTAGAATTGTGAAACCCGACAAAGCTATTGCATTTTTGGTTTGGAAGCCGAAAAATGTCATGCAAAACGGGATAACTATTCCTCCACCACCAATCCCTGCCATTGTTGAAAGTGACATAATCACGATCAAAAGGAAGAGACCAATGAATTCGGAACCAAGAATAGGAAATACATCCTTATGCTGGCATTAACCGCTTTTAGTGTTACAAGTTTCAAAAGGAAAATCCTGACATTCCTAGTCCATTTTGCAAATCGGGGTTAAAAACTAGTCATGATTGGTACCATCAAAAACATGTACTTTATCAATCATTTTTTCTTTCATAATCTCATTATGATCTACAACTTAAATCTCCTCTGCTAAATCAGCTTTTGCTATTAGCAAAGATACGAGCAGAATAAATCCAATGATCTATTTGGGTTATTTATGTTTTAATAGGTTTCTCATAATTTCTTATATTGATTCAGAGAGGGCTTCCTTATTTAAATTAATAATTAAACTTAATGGCTATTATATCCATGAAAACATTATGAAAATAAATTAGTAAATTATTTTACTTTTTAATTGCAAATTAATTTTAATACTGCTTCTATTAAATCTTTATTACTCTTCTTATTCACTTTACTATTTACTAATGGGGTTTTGGGGTTTTGGGG